AGCGCTTTTTCACCTTAAATTAAATAAAGAAAAAACTGATTAGTGACGCGTTTCGCTTCAAAAATTCGTTTCTGCTACAAAGTTGCAGTTCTAAGGAAAAAGTATTGTTGGACTTCCTTGTTGCATTTAGAACACGGCGAAAATGAAGTTGATTCAACTCCTTGGAAGTGACATGACGTATCCTAGCTGCAAATCTCTGAACTGGTGGAACTAAAAAATTATTGTAACCTAGAAAGGGTTACAGAAAAAGGTATAGCCAAAATGGAGGTTGGAAATGAAATGGTAATCTTTATAACATCAACAAGCGGTATGAAGTAGGTAAACCACTTCTAGTGGTGGACTACTGGGACAGCATGTTACCCCCACTTACAATAGTGTCCAACGTATTTATGAGGATTGGGACATACCCATTAGTGTTCATAGGCACGGTTTATAACAAAAACATCCGAATATTCATCATGGAAATAGTGTCAGACTGGCGAAAGCCTTACAACGGTGCGTCCGTGGTTTTAGATCGTGTTGCGTCTCATGAGTATCACAACTATACTGCCACCGTTACACTACTTCTATACCTATTAGGTCATATTTGCATCAACCAGCTGAATCCATCAACCAGCTTTCTACCGTACATTTTATTCTTATTTTTATACTTCAGTTAATATAACAGCAAAATTGTCCATATCGTGTAATGGTATAATTGTTTATCCCAAAAAATGTTCAATGTAAAAAAAAAAAAAAAAAAAAAAAACACAAAAATAATCGAGTTTCTTTTTCCAGGTTTTCACAAAAGACGTTTACCCATTTTTGGAAGAATAACCGAAAAACCTTTTGATTTATTCAACTAGAAAGAGAAGAATTTAAAATTGTTTTGTGTCCGCCCCACTGTCTTCCCAGCTGGGAAATGGTGAGAGGAAAAAGATCATTCAGGCCTTCTGTAACGGTATCAGCATTCATACTCTGCCTTCGATCTTCAAAGTCCATTCAAGAACCATAAAAAATGGTGAATAAGTTTTAAAAAGAGGGAACAGTAGAGAGGAAAAATGGATCAGGAGGTCACAATAGGAAGAGACATCAGGATTTCAATTTATAGCTAAAGAGGTCAATTCGAAAAGATCCAATTCAATCCATCAGACGTTTGGCACGTGAGAGAGAAGTTTCAGCTATGACAGTTCAAAGAGCGGTGAAAAAAGACTTGAAAATGTAATCGTACGGGAAACCTGTCAGGCACTTTTTTACTCCAGGGCAGAAAGTTAGAAAGTTAGAGATGGCGAAGATCATCTTAAACAAGTTGGGAAATGATCCTGGAATAATAAATATATATTTGAACTTAAGTTAAATCCTGCATGAGCTTCCGATCCTTAGATATGATTAATTAATGATTAACATTAATCATTTTCGTTTATGATTGATTTCATCATGATTCTTCTGTTAAGCTTGGAGATTAATTATACATTCTTATTGCTTAAAGTAGAGTCCAATAGTGTTATAAAAACCTCGGAGAATTCCAGTAAGATATCTACAATCATTTCTAAGATACAACGATTCGAAGCTTAATCTAACATTTGGACAATTTTGCTGTTACACGATTTGGACAATTTTGCTGTTACACCTTGTACAGTGCCACGCAAAAGTTTACAACCCATTATAAAAATGTTTCATTGGGTATTTCTAACACAAATTAATGAAATTTTTACTGCTAATAATACATATGTTTAAACCTTTAGTGAAACAATCAGATTTAAAAAATAATCAATAAAAATATCACACGAAGAAAAACCAATATTTAATAACGTAAAAGTTTACAATTTATTAAATCATCTATTAATATTTCCTAGCGTAACCGTTATTGCTAATTTCCAGCATGTAGGCATTTAGAGTAGTCCCCTACGAATTTCTTGCATGTTTCTTGGCTAATGTTTTTTCATTCTTCACAACAAAATTCCTTTAGTTCTTGCAGGTTTTCCGGGTTCTTTCTTTGAATACTCTTTCAGCTCTCTCCATAAATTTTCATTCGGATTGAGATCTGGAGATTGACTTGGCCATTTTGGAACGTCTATTCTACTTGAACTTAACCATGATTTTGTAAGATTTGCAGTATGTTTAGGATCGTTGTCTTGTTGAAAGACCCAACCTCGTTTCAAGCCCAGCGTATGTGCAATCTGACGTGAATTTCTCTCCAAAATATCCCTATAATATACTCCATTCATCCTCCCTTCTATTATTTCAATGTTCCCTACACCTTGGGCACTAATGCAACCTCAGATCATGATTGGTCCGCCTCCAAATTTTACTGTTGGGATAATATTCTTCGGCGAACATTCAGTACTCTTCTTTATTCAGACCTTTGCTCCAGAATTTCTGCCAAAAAGTTCAATTTTCGTTTCGTCTGACCAAAGTACATTTTCCCAAAATGTTGCAGGTTTGACACAATGCTCGTTTTTACAATCCACTCTAGCAAGAACTTTTTTTTACGCTTAAGAAGTGTTTTTTTTTTACCTCGAAGTCCTCGAAAATATGTCATATCGACGAAATGAACGGCTAGTTGTATCTGTATTCACTTTTACTCCACTTACTTCTAGTCCTCCCTGAAGTTCTTTAAGCTTAACTCGGGGCTCGTTGCCATCTTCTCTCGCCAATAATCTTGCCCTACGTTCCGTTACCTTGCTATGACGACCAAAGATTTTGGGGGACAAACGGAATGACGTCTTTCACTGATGAATTATCGTACCAACTGAACTCAATGGCACATTTAACTGACTAGATATCTTCCTACAATCAAATCCATGAAGGTCAACAATAAGTTTACGGAGGTCTTGGTCAATTATTTCGCTTTTCCCCATTTTGCCAATTTTTAAAGGACGATCGACAGCAAAAGAATGATGTAATACTTTTAATCACTCCTAAAAGTAACCATAAAATTTACCTGGAACGTTCTAAAAAACAGCCCCATCTTAATTTGGAACATTCTAGTAATATTTGAACACTTTTATAAAAAGAAGCAGTTGTAAAATAATATGTGTTGTAAACGTTTGAGTTACTAAATATTGGTTTTTCTTCGTGGGATACTATTTTGAAGTTTTTAAAAAAATTTGATTGATTGACTGAATACTTAAATATATATTCTAAAATGTAAGTAAAAGTTTAATTAATCTATTAGAAATACCTAAAAAAACATTTTTTTTTTTGTAATGAGTTGTAAGCTTTTATGTGACACTGTATGTGTGGATAAGAATATGTTAGAAATATATAGAGATATTTACAGGGTAAAAGTTTGGTAAGTTGTTCTTTCATAAAACTGTTCAGCTATAATTTATCAGCATAAAATTCAATATTGAAAGCAAACTGACCCGAATATTGATTCCTCTATTTTTTTTAATAAGTTATAAAATGTTGTTCTTTTGTTTTTTGTATCATAGAAGCTTACAAAAACTGCAATCATTTAAAATGTATTGGATCACAGGTTTTTTACAGTTGGCAATAATATCATCTCTGCGTTGATATATTTTCCTAGTCTGAACGGCCGGTTAATCGCTTGAGGCTCGAAATGGAAATTCGGAAAATCGAGTTCAAATTCAAATCGGGTTCGTTACATTGACTTAGGCGCAAATACTATTGGGGAAAGGCGTGAATCCATCTCTTCTCCGAAACCTGGGTATGACGATAAACTACATCCGCGTCCTGGGTAAGTCCAACCACAAGGCCTTTGATCAGGTTTTGAGGAGCGTGGAACCACCTCTTAATTGCTGGTGTTCCCAGATCCACCTTGACCCGGGATGGTAGCACCTGTTAGGGTCCCAGCTATGGACAAATAGTTAACCCCGTAACTGAGATAAAAAGCATTATAAAAGTGTGTAAAAATAGGTTTTAATACCAGAAATACTTTGTAAAAAATATTACCAGAAATAAATTTTTGAAGAAAAAAACTATTACCAGCAATACATGTTTTAAAATAATATTACTAGCTATACATTTTTGAGGAAAAAAATATTACCAGAAATAGATTTTTGACAAAACAAAATATTACCAGGAAAAAAAAGTTGTCGGCATTAAATAACCCATTGAGATTTATATGCCGTAAAATACAACAAACCAAACCAAACCATCTCTTCCCCTTTCTTAAAATAACAGGACTTGTATCTGGACAAGCAAAAATAAAAATTATTTTTACAATCCAAAATATATTTCGGCTTTAAATGACCCACAAAGTGTTTATAAGCCGCAAAGAGAAAATGAATTAAGCAAGTCTTTTATCTATTTTCTTGGTTGGCTTGTTTGTGTTTGTTTTGTGTTTTCTTTTCCGACAAATAAGAACAAGAGTTAAATTAATCAAATTGATTTGTAAAATTCAATAAGTTTACTTCCGTAAAGTTTTGTTGTAATCAAAAAGTGTTAAGCTAGACAATATTGTAAAGGAAAGCGAGAAGAAAGGACTAACTGAAAAATAGCGAGAAGAAAGGACTAACTGAAAGAAGTCATTAGCAAAAGGAACAGACCAAAATGCGATGTACGAATAAGACTTGTTATAATAAAGCTAGAACATAAATTTAACAATCTGGGAACACGGCTGGAAATACGACGCAGAAAACCGAATTTTCTTTGGTGTAGCGAAAGATGCCTCCTAAAAGCTAAGCAATGTATTAAGAAACAAGAAATTTTCGTTAGAAAGAAAAAAAAGATTGCTGAACTGTTATGAAATATCTATCTTGCCATCTGTAATGTAATCGATCTTGATCTGGCATCTTGACTTCAGTCAATACGCGAGGTGACTTCCCTCTACCTTTTCAACAAATAATTTCATAGCAGTTGTTCTGATGAGTTTTCTCATTAGTGCCTTAACTGCATAAATTTAAACGTTCTACTTGATTGGCAATTAAGTCTCAACGTTTTACTGTCGAATTAGCTTAGATGCAATCGTCTGTTTTATTTTAATAGTTTCTTTTCTCACACTTCTTGTGGAACTCCCGATTTCTTGCTTCTCTGCCATCTACAATCTTTAAGGCTTACGGCAATACAGCGTTGAAGCGCCGTTTCCCGTACGATGACCGAAGTTAAGCAACGTCGAGTCTGGTCAGTTCCTAGATGGGTAACCTCTTGGGAATACCAGGTGCTGTAAGCTTCGATATGCAAGTGGTGTAATGGATAATGGCTCGGAATTGTTAATCAGAGAGCCGTGTTCGAATTCCATTATCTTTCACTCCCCCTAATCCCTTGCTTCCTAGTGGCACTATCGCCTTGCTTGGGGTGAAATGATTAAAAAAAATATGTCAGTAAATTTTGAACAATTTCCTCACTGAGGAAGAAAACACACGAAACGACAGGGGTCCAGTTCTACAGAAGGGTGCTGAGAATTCCATGGATAAAACACGTGAGCAACGAGAAAGTTCTAAAAGAGGATAGGAACCAAAAATTCAGTCATGATTAAAATCAGAAAGAGTTCAAATTTAGTGGACAATCTATGAGGAAGAACGACTTGGAGAATGTAATACTCACAGGACGTATTAATGAAGATGTGATACGCAGATGACATAGTTCTTATAGCAGAAACAAAAAGGAAACTACAAGGACTACACGTCCTGGGTATGACGATAAACTACATCCGGCAGCAAGGCTTCTGATCAGGAGGTTTTGCGGAGCGTGGAACCACCTCTTAATTGCTTTTGCTCCCGGGTCTGCCCCGACCCGGGGTTGTAGCACCTGTTAGGGTCCCATCTATGAGCAAATAGTTAAACCCCACCCCCCAAAAAAGGGTAAAAAATCACTGTGAGAGTATAAAAACAGATTTTTTATAGTAAAAATACCAGCAATACATTTTTGAAAGAAGAAATGACTACCAGTAATACATTTGACTCTCGACAAATTCCCTCTTTACCAAAATATATAAATGAAACCATACATTCTACAAACTGATTCCTGACAAAGAATATGTATTCTATTGAAACGAACAATAAAATAATACTTAGCATCCGAATTCTGATGAAGAGAACACTCATCAGAATCAAACCGAAAATAGGACAAGAAAAGTGAAGGTTCTTTAAAGACATTGGAACAAGGAATGCGAAATTTATATATGTAGAATAATATCAGAGAGACCAATACAAATGCAAAACGATATCTGTGTTATCGATTATACAAAAGACAAAAGTCTTTGATAAGGCGGTGTAATGGATAGCGGCTCGGATTGAAGAGTCGGAGAGCTGAGTTCGAATTCCAGTCGAATGCATTACATTCACTTATGTAAGGTATGAATCCTCTTCTTCTTTTCCCCCCAGCTATGGGTAAATAGCAGGACAGACCGTGTTCTATAGATTTGGATTGTAACTGGTCTACCGCAGAAAGAAATGACAGCGGGGAAAAAAATCTGCCTCGTCAGTCATGTATCGAAAGATACATGATCGCTTAATCGTGTATCACGCATGGCACATAACTGATTGGCTTTGATAAATTATGTCGCAAAGTCAGAAAGAAACGTTGCAACTGCTCGTTAACCTTAACATATTTAGGAAGGATAATTAGAATAATCCAGAATCTATACTGGCAGCAAAGCGGCTGCAGACGGATAGAAAATGAATTCAGTAAATATACAAAAATAGAAAGGAGTGTAAGAAAAGGATGGTACTTCTCACGGGACTTATTCAATCTATACAGTGAGGCGATTCATTTTGGGTGGCCACAATCTTAACAACATGAAATATGCATATGACACAGCTTTGATAACGGAAACAAAAAAGAAGCTACAAGAATTTCTAGTGTAGGAAAGCGAGAAGGAAACTGAAATAATGGTTGTCAATAAAAGCAACAGACTAATATATAAATTACAAATTGAAAATACGAAAATCAATCGAGCACAACAATTTAAATATATCTCAGTAAATTTTGAACAATTTCCTTACAGAGGAAGAAAACACACGAAACGACTGGGGTCTGGTTCTACAGAAGGGTGCTGAGAATTCCATGGACAAAACACGTGAGCAACGAGAAAGTTCTAAAGAGGATAGAAACCAAAAATACAGTCATGATTAAAATCAGAAAAATTTAGTTCAAATTTCTAGAACAATCTACGAGGAAGAACGACTTGGAAAATATAATACCCTCAGGACGTATTAGTGAAGATATGATACGCAGATAACACAGTTCTTATAGGAGAAACAATTCTTAACAACAAAATATGCAGGTAACACAGCTTTGGTAAGAGAAACGAAAAGGAAGCTGCATGAACTCCTACAGAAGTTAGTGTAGGAAAGCGTAAAGGAATTAAACCTAAAACTGCAAGAAGACTGTTTGTCAATAAAGGCAACAGCCTAATTTGTAAATTACAAATTGGAGATACCAAAACCAACCGAACGGAATAATTTAAATATAAGTGAAGTGTTTTTAACAGGGGTTGGATAGCGAAAGACGCCTTCTGAAAACTAGTAAGAAGAGAAGGATGGTAAACGATGCTAAAAGCTACAAGAAACAGGAACTTGGGAAGAGCCATGATTGTCTACGTTCTGACTGGATACGACGTATAAATGATGATGAACTGTTTTAGTTCCGGTACTACGTCTTATGTAAACATTCTTTACATTGTATGTACGCATATGAGAAGATATAAGTAGTATGAATTGTGTGAATGTGTATCGTTCTGTATCATTGTACGCTTGTGTGTGTTCGTATCTACGCAGCCAGATGCTTTATATTGATGTATGAATGTATGTGAATGCATATCAGAGTCCTGATTATAATCATGCCACTATGTGAGTATAAAACTTATGTAGCGAAGAAAAGATGGAAGTAAGCTAAATTGACGTGGCCATAATTGAAAATTATTACTTTCTCCCGTTTTAATAGCAACCCTAAAGTTAAAATTTTGTATATACAATTTTAATTTACTGCTTGCTAATCTGTTTACTTATCAACTGAACGTGTTTATTTGATTCAGTAATTTTTTTTTATTTTTATTTTTTTACAGTCATTATCAATTTATTTCTCCATACGTCAAAATTAAAATGGCGTTCTTCAGTGTGATTCAGTTTGAACTACTTACTTTATTGTTATTAAGTCTATAGATATGGCTGCAAATTTCATTTATTTTTTCATTATTTATTTATTTGTTTATGGTTAGCATTCTAATCCAGGTGAATTATTTCAAAGACGGATATTCATTGGTTCTTATTTTCGAAAAATCTTTTTTTTTTCTTTTCAAATTTTCTTTCTTTGTTTTATGGCCAAGACTGTTTATTTTCCCTACTTTCGTGTGTATGAACGCGCATGCACGTGCGGATGTATGCGCGCACGCGCGCGTGTGTGTGTGCGCGCGCGTGTGTGTGTGTGTGTGTGTGTGTGTGTGTGTGTGTGACAGTTTTTACCCTAATGACTTTGTCTGCCTCACTTGACTTAGCTGTTTCCAGATCTTGTCGAGTTTTCACATTCGAGAACACGTTCGTCTTTCTTTAATTCACACAAATTCAGATTATGCTCTCTCTCTCTCTCTCTCTCTCTCTCTCTCTCTCTCTATCTATCTATCTATCTATCTATCTATCTATCTATCTATCTCACACACACACACTCTTTCTCTAAATTATTTTACTTACACTTCGGATTTATTCTTCCCTTTCACAATTATTATTCTCTCTTTCTATCTATCTATCTATCTATCTATCTATCTATCTATCTATCTGAGTGTATTCTTCATCTATGTTTGTTCATATCTATCTATCTATCTATCTCAGTAATAATATATATCTATTTATCTATCTAATCATTATCTATCTATTTATCTATCTTATTTGTTGTTCACTCTCTTCATATCTATCTACCTGTTCATATCTATCTATCTATCTATCTATCAGTATGTATTAGTCTGTCCATATCTATTTGTTAGAATCTATCTATCTATCTATCTATCTATCTATCTATCTATCTATCTATCAGTCTGTTCATATCTATCAATCTATCTATCTATCTGTTCATATCTATCTAATTATCAGTCTGTTCATATCTATGTATCTATTAGTCTGTCCATATCTATCTATTAGTCTGTATTAGACTATGTTTGTTCATATCTATCTATCTATCTATCTATCTATCTATCTATCTATTATCTATCTATCATCTATTGGATATGTATTAGACTATGTTTGTTCATTTCTTTCTATCTCTCTATCTATGTTTAGTATTTATCTATTTTTAGGCACTTTTCGACTAGACGTTTTATATTTTTGTGCTTATTCGCATCCACATTAGTCCATAGAAAGTCTTTTGTCCATTTCATCTATTAGTCTGTATTGTCATGTTTTTTCATATCTATTTATATCTTCTATGTACTAGTCTGTTCGGCATGTAAAAAGCTGTTAATATCTATTAGTCTGTATTTTGTGTTTGTTATTATCTATCTATTTTATGACTGTTCTCATCTTTCCTATTTTTTTTATCTATTAGTCTGTCAATCTAGTGTATTAGAAAATATTTCTAATTCGTTCTAATTCAATTCTAGTCTGTTCGATTATGTATCTATTAGTCTGTCCATATCTATTATTATTATTAGTTGATTTTGTTTTATTATCTATCAATTATTTGTTATCATTTCCATAAAATGAAACAATTAGTCTGTCCATATTCATTTAGTCTGTAATGTGTTTGTTCATTTTCATCTTTAATGTTTAGTCTGTTCATATTTTCCATTTTATTTTAGTTGTATTAGTCTTGTTTTTATCTATCTATTTATCTTTATTCAATTCTGTTTTTTCATTTTTCTATTTTCTCCATTCATTTTAGTCTTATTTTCCCATTTGTTCATATCTATTTTATCCTTCATTTTATTTTGTATCTATTAGTCTGTCCATTCATTTTATTTTCAGTTTTTCATATTTTATCTATCTTCATTTGATCTATTTACCCATCTATCTGGATATGTGTTTTTTCTTCCTTTCTTTTCCCTTCATTTTTATTTTTTGCACTTTTCGACTAGACGTTTTATATTATTATCATTTTGTCATTTTCATTTTGCCATGTTTTTCTTTTTATATTTTTTTTTATTTTTCCTTTCATTTGATCATTTTCCACGTTAGACTTCACTTTCCCTTTTTTTAGATTCAATCTCAAAAAATTCATTCTAATTCAATTCTTTTACTCACGTCCTTCACTTTTTTGTTTCCAATTATTTCTTATCATTTCCATAAAAATGAAACAAGGTTGCGTCACTTTTCACTTAATCCCCTTTTCACTTTAATTTTATCTTCTTTTCCATTTTATTTTATGTTTTCCCACTTATTTTATCTTCTTTACTTTCTTCAATTCATTTTTTCATTTTTCCTCTTTTCTCCTTCATTTTATCTTCTTTTCCCATTTGATCTTTTATCCTTCATTTTATTTTATTTCCACCCTTCATTTTATTTTCAGTTTCTTTTACCCTTCATTTGATCTTTTCCCCTTCTTTTTCTTCTTTTCCCCTTCATTTTATCTTGCGCTCCTACTCTATTTTATCTTTGCATTTTCATTTTCTTTTATTTTCCCTTTCATTTGATCTTTTCCCCTTCACCTTATCTTCTTTACTCCTTCATTTTGTCTCCTTTACGCCATACTTTCGTTCCCCCCTTCATTTTATCTTCTTTTCTCGTTAATTTTATCTTCTTCTAATATTATCCCTTCATTCTATCTGCTTTTCCCCTAACTTTTATCTTCTTTTCCGCTTCATTTTATCTTCTGTTCTTCTTCATTTTATCTTTACCCCTTCATTTTACCTTCTGTTCCCCTTCATTTTAACTTCTGTTCCCCTTCATTTTATCTTTTCCCCTTCATTTTATCTTCTTTTCTTCCGCTTCATTTTATCTTCTTTTCTTCCGCTTCATTTTACCTTCTCTTACCCCTTCATTTCATCTTCTTTTCTCCTAGATTTTATCTTCTTTTATCCTTCATTTTCTCTTCTTTTCCCCTTCATTTTACCTTCTGTGCCCCTTCATTTTACCTTCTTTTCCCCCGCTTCATTTTCTCTTCTTTTCGCCTTCATTTTACCTTCTTTTCCCCTTCATTTTACCTTCATTTTTACCCATTCATTTTATCTTCTTTTCCCCTTCATTTTTTATTTCCCCTTCATTTTACTTCTTTTCCCCTTCATTTTCCTTCTTTTCCTCTTCATTTTTCTTTTTAGATTTCATTTTACCTTCTTTACCCATTCATTTTCTCTTCTTTTCCCCTAGACTTTATCTTCTTTACTCCTTCATTTCATCTTCTTTTCCCCTAGATTTTATTTTCTTTTATCCTTCATTTTCACTTCTTTTCCCCTTCATTTTCACTTCTTTTCCCCTTCATTTTACCTTCTTTTCCCCTTCATTTTACCTTCTTTTCCCTTCATTTTACCTTCTTTTCCCCTTCATTTTACCTTCTTTTCCCCTTCATTTTCTTTTCCCTTCATTTTACCTTCTTTTCTCTTTCATTTTACCTTGTTTACTCCTTTATTTGATCTTTTTCCCTACATTTTATCTTCTTTTATCCTTCATTTTATCTTCTGTTCCCCTTCCTTTTCTCTTCTTTTCCCCTTCATTTTATTCTTCATTTTATCTACTTTTCTCTGTTTCCCTTCATTTGATCTTGGGCTTCTCCTCTATTTTATCTTTTCCCCCGCTTCATTTTATCTTCTTTTCTTCCCCTTCATTTTATCTTCTTTTCTTCCGCTTCATTCTGATCTTTCTCCATTTTATCTTCTTTTGCCCTTTATGTTGTTTTCCCCTTCATTTTATCTTCTGTTTTCCCTTCATTTTATCTTTTCCTCTTCGTTTTATTTCTTTTCCTCTCCATTTTATCTTCTTTTCTCTGTTTCCCTTCATTTTATTCTACGTTCCTCTTTATCTTATCTTTACCATTTCATTTTATCTTATTCCCCCGCTTCATTTTATCTTTTCTCTCCTTTCACTTAGCCATGTTCGTCAATAATAAAAGGCACTAAATCTACAGTGTAAATCATTTGATTATATTCATCACGCATATATTAAATTAACAACTTATGAAAAAGTTGTCGACGAAAAGTTAAAAGGATGTCATACTAACTGTTCGTGGTAACTGCCACTCCCCATCAAAGTCTGCATCCACCATTTTCTTATAACATGTCGCCAAGAGGATTAAGAAAATTGAAAGCATAAATGCGCCAGCTTTTACAGTCGTCATGAATTATTCCGATTTGTTCCTCCAATATCTTTTTACGATTGAGGTATTGGACATTTACTGTGCAGATAAAGAAATCTTAATTATGAACTTGGTGGGAAAATAATAGGGGATTTATCTCAACTACTAAGTCTTTAGAATTGAACAAAGTCGAACAAAGACAAGATTTATTTTACCGAGAATATTACTTGTTGAAATAACTTAAATGAAATGCATAACAGCATGTGACATAGAAACTGTTATGTTCCGCCAATGCAGAAATTAAACAACGTATTAAGAGACAGTAAGATTCCATTAAAAACAAAACAAAAGAGCGATGAAATTCTATAGAATATCGATCCCCTTGTATGGTTGTGCTATAATCCATGCTAAGGGAATAAACACAAAACACCAAGTGGATAATAGAAGAAAGGTTTATTGTACACAACCAGTACAATATGAAATATGGTACAGTTATACACACAGGTCAATCTAGTAGTGAGTGCCACTAATTGTCAGGTCGGACGTGCTTGCGTCTCTCTCTCTCTCTCTCTCACTCTTCCCTGTCCTCTCTTTTCTCGTATACAGTAGACTTTATAGGTACTTACTTCGTATAATGGAATCATTCATGGGGATGACTGGTTATTCCATTACATCAGTAACAGTCAACGGAAAATGTGACATCGAAATCCGAAGCAGTACTGGACTAGTGAAAGTGTAGAACCTAAGAAAAAATTTTTCGAAACAAAAAAAAAGAATCTTGAACTGCTATATTATATCGATCCCCCACCAATATAGCTGTGAATGATGGACAATTTCTATATGATTGATCGATTGATTCGTTTTCTACGACTTATCAACTTTTTGAAAATTATTTAAAGGCAAAATATATTTTTAGATTGTAAGAAGTTTTTGAGTTAATAATGATTTAGTGATACAAGTCTTACTAATTACTTTTACTGACATATTTTTTTAATCATGTCACCCCAAGTAAGGCAAGAATGCCACTAGGACGCATGGTGTTACAGAGAATGAAAGATAATAAGAATTTAGTAAGGAAAAGTTAGGAAAAGGATAATAAAGAAAAAGGGTTCAATAAGACAGAAGATGGCGATTGACGTTACATTTAAATTTTTGAAGATTGCATGTTGATTGACTGATTCATTTTTTACAATTTATCAACCCATTGCAGTTTATTTAAATCAGGAATTTTCGTGATACAACTTTTTCATTGCATGAAGCGTTACCAACGATTAATTTTTTTCACAAGTATTTATTTACTGTCATCTTTTTATTAAATGAAGAATTTTAAACTATTATTATTATTATTTATTTTACTAGTACCGTAATTCTTCGTGTATAATAAGCCTTCATGCATAATACGCGCCCCTAAAATTGTGCTGAAAGTGTGGGAAAATGCTTCTACCCACGCATAATACGCACCCCTTGTTTGCTAATCAAACCCTATAAATTGTACCTTTCCAGTTTCATTACTGCCAGCGTTTCCTACTCTTATTTTAATAAATGGTTTTAAACATAGAATAATACTATTCTAATTTAGTTTTTTGATAATTCTTATTTTATTTTACAAGAAATTTAATAAGTATTGTTAGGTACATATGATTGTATTTGACATCCTTATGGGGTCGCAATCGCCGAATGTTTGTGTCAAATTGTATGTTCATGGTCTATAATCATTTCGCAACTGAAATCGACCTATGAAACGGCAATTTTTTAAAGTTTTTTTTGTAGCTTCGCATAATACGCACCCCTATTTTTATTACATTAAGCATTGTCAGCAATTATTATTCATTTTTTTTACAAGAATTTACTTATATTTTTAATGTTTAATCGCTTTTCACCGGTACTTTTATTCAAGCTGTTAATGAATCAACAGAGCAAGATCGAAAGTAAAGGATAAATTTTCAATAAGATACGAACTCCCTTCCCGCTTACGTTAGGGACGCTTAAGTGAGCGTGCTCGCCATTTTAATCACTGAGATATTAGAACTTGACGGCTTAGAAAAAGACAAATTCTTGACTATAATACCTTCACTCTGTTCGACAATCGGCATCAGCGACATGTTTGCTTCTCATATCTACATTAGCAGTTATAGTTACAGTGATATTTGCATTGTTTTATTGTTGATTATTTTTTAAAAGCTCAGAATAGAAAAACTAAAAAATTAACAGTTTCTTGTTTTGCACATGTTTTGAGCATTGGCAATTAGTTTTTTTCTTCTTTTTACTAGCATTAATTTGCATCTCATTTTTCGTTGCTTTTTATTACGAATATACTTTTCTTTATTTTTTGCTTACATTTTTAATTTCAGGATCATGGCGCAAAATATGTGCAAAAAATCATTCATTCATTGTTTTACGTTTTTTATTCTAAGTTTTTCTCATAAAACATAAAACCTATTGCATACAACAATAATTATACATTCTTTCACTCTTTCTACTCGTCTTTGAAAGGGAAAAAATCGAAAAAGACTATAATCTTTACAATTTAATGATAGCCACAAGGAAACATGAAAAATGATGTCAGTTTTTGTCTTATGCTGAAGTCAACGCCTGTACACACGCCATTCATTGACATTTTCTTCTTATTTTGTAAATATGCCGGCGTTTGTATTCTTTAGTTTTTCATGCATTTCTAACGACCTGATTTTGACGAAGAGTGAAATGCTGGGATTTCGATTTTCAATCGCTGTAAAAAAAAAACAAAAAAAAAAACAGTTAGAAATGTTGCCTTCAGATAGATAGATAGATAGATAGATATGTACATATCTCATGACACATAATTTCAATAATTCTAGTATGTATGCTTGTAGATCATAGATAAATAGATAAGTAGATAGATATGATCAAACTCAGATAGATAGATAGATAGATAGATAGATAGATAGATAGATAGATAGATAGATAGATAAGAACGAACTGTGGGGGATATATATGAAAATATTAGATAATATTTTTCTAGTTTAGTGTTCTACAGTACTTTGCAATTCAGTCTACAGGAAGTAGAAAATAAAATAAGTTATTATTATTATTATTATTATTATTATTATTATTATTATTAACACTTAGAGAAGAGAACTATTTAAGAAAAGAGAAAAAAGAAAAGATACCCTAACAATATTTCGACAGCATGTTTTCTTTAAATTATGTTAAAAAATGCAAACAAGTATAAAAATATAAAAAAATATGTCTGTGCAAACGTCGCTTGTCTTAAGAAAAACAATTGTACATCAACGTGACAAAACGAATGAAACACCGCCAGCATCAATGAAATGCAACTGGAATGTGAGTAACATGAATGGGAACGTGCTCATATTTTCCGTATTTGATTAGTTTTTAAGCGGAATTAATCAAACAATTTAGTAGAAATTTTATGGAACTCTCTTGTCATTTTGTTCGTTAGTTAGTTAGTAGTTTACAAATGTAATTATCCTCATTATTATTATTATTATTACTATTATTGTTGTTGTTGTTGTTGTTTTATTTCGTTTTATTTCTGGTGTGTACACATTTCTTTCCGGGTCCTGCCAGAGACCCTAAGGTCAGAAATGGCATCATAACATTTTCCACCAATTAAAAAAAGAATAACAACACGTATATTTTACATAGATAAAGCCCTTCGTAAGGTGTGGGCTCTACACGTGAAAAATTTTTTTGCATTTCTTTAAGGCATTGGCTTCCAGGAATACCTTTAGCTAGTCTACTGGAATCTTTTCCAACCAATCCAAGAGGACTTGTTGATGTTCTCATCTGCCACATTTTTGAGATTTTAATTTCATTATTATTATTATTATTATTATTATTATTATTATTAATGGACAAATTAAAGTAGACGGATTGCCGCAGCTTAGCAAAAGAAAAAGAAATGGCTTTGAAATGACGTAAAATGCGACACCAAAATCTAAAGGGGCGTTAGAATAAGGAAAGATGTCGCGCAAAAGCTAAACAAAGTATCAGGAAACGGGAAAATTTCTTTAGAAACAAAGAAAAATGCACTGGAACGCTATGTCATGTGAATGCTGGACAATTCGCCATAAGTGAAGAAGCGACTTGAAACAAGAAAGATGTTCTACAAAAAGATGCCGAGAATGTGAGTAAGGAGAAGGAAAATAGAAACAAAAAGGTCACCTAGAATTTGAAAGAAGGCATGGCGAATATGACACCCACAGGACATATCGAAGTCAAGATAAGAGAAGTAGAAAGAAATGGCGAGTAATAAGTTTGTGCAAATGGAATAATTAACATAGAGTGGGAAGGGTAAAAAAGACAAATATTGTTTAGTACTACAAAGGGCTGGACGTTGTGGAGAGTCATGATAGCTTAAGTCCTTAAGTGAAACGGTACATACAAGAAATAGAAGAAAAAGAAGAATTTTAAAATATATAAACCCTCAACAAGATGGAATGTATTATTTCTGTGCATCTCATCTTGTAGATACTTTTCGAGCTTTTTTTAAAATCATGTTCCCCACTACAAGACCCAACAGTCACCCAAAGTAGAGAGTTACAGTGTTGTATTATATGAGCGTAAGAAAAGACAAGAAGTGCAATTCGTGAGGCTATGCTGGAAATATGACGGTTAACTATAGGCTTGAAGAGGTCATGATTACTGGGAGTCTGTTCCACAAAGCAACAGTTCTTGGCAAGAAATTGTTTGAATGGAACTTACTCCTTACTAATGAAATACTAAGGGCAATGGGGATGATTCACACTCGTGTACGTTGCATGAAGGGGTCACTTTGCAAAGGTCAGCCGTGGTAAAACCAAGGAATG